AAGTCATGACATAGAAGAAATTGCTGTATGATTTTCCCAGCACCCCAGTATATTCCCGTGGATAGAGTCGGTGGGTCCGGTTGATGAGTTGGTCCTGCACTGAGCCTCTCTCGGTGCTGGGTGCCCTGTTTGGCCTCATGCCCTGGAGATACAGTTGTGGATAAAGCACCAGTCCCTGCTCTTTGAGCACCTGTCCTTTGTGCTGACACCCTCCCGTTTCTCTAGGTCACACCTGACTCCCTGAGCCGCAGACTGTGTGTATTTCTTTGGGATGTCTTCACCTAGATTTCCTAGTGTAACTCAGACTGCACATGTAGAGAAGAGGAGACTCCCACCCCGTCACCATCACCCCCCCATCTATTCTGTCACTGCCAGTGTCCTCTCTGCGGCTCCCTGGTGCCTGTCTTCATGGCCCCTGTAGTCTCCCAGGCCTGCTGCCTCTCTGTCTCCCTGGGGGCCGTCTGGCTTGCTTTCTCCCTGCGCTGTGGTGGTCAGGACCTCAGCCTCTCCTGCGGCAGCCCTCTGAGACATGGGAGCCCTCAGTGGCTCATCTAGAGGGGACAGTGTGATGCCTGAGAGGTGACCTCTAGGACTCACCTGCATCAGGGCTCCCACCTGCTGCAGTTTTCTGCCAACCCCTGCTTCCTTTGCATCCAGGCTGCTGCGTTTCCTTGTACACACCAGGCAGTTCACCTCCCTGGAGCCCGGGCTTTGTGCTGGTCTTCCTCGGGGTTCTCGGGGTACTTGGTGTCCTGTGCCTTCCCACCTTGGACCTGACATTCCCCTTTATCCTAGCAGTGTTCCAGCCTTTGTGAGAGTCCCTGCGTGCTCACCTCAGTGTGACAGTGGCGTGGCACACAGTGGGGATCAGTGCATGGTTTTGGAAGGAGGAAGCCCTCAAGTGAATGCCCCAGACCTTTGTAACACTGAGTGAGGGACTTCGCCTGACTGAGGCACCTCTCCCGGCTCTCCTCCGGCCCTGGCCCTGAGGACCAGGAACTGACTCACCAAACCAAAAATCACATCCAAAGTCTAGTTTTGAACTGGTTGTGCTCGGTAAGACCTTACGTGGAGAAGGTGGCCGTGACTTGTGGTCTGGGTGCCTCGTCCTGTACACCAGTCACCTCTGAACACATTCACCTGGATATTCTATATATTCTAGAATCCGTCTTTCCACTTTTTAGTGGGCATGCAGACACACTGATGTTTGATCAAGATATACAGACTCACGTCTAAAATAAAATTGTTGTTGCTCGGATGCTTTGAAGTTAGGAGTGCTAAATCATCAGCCATCCTTTGCTCCTGTTACAGTAAGCTGAAAGACCTGGCCTGGGAGGAATGGCCAGGCTCATTTCCTAGAAGCATAAGTGGATTTTATTCAATAAGTGCAGATATTTTCTCTCTGCGTAAGGTGCAAAGTTTTTCTTTGTATTTATGTTGTTTATTCCAGATCTTTAATTGTTAAAACCTTCCTAAAAGTAAAAAAATAAAATGTCTTGCACCCTTTGAGATTTTTATCTAATTGGTTTTCTGGGTTCTTAATTGTTAAGTTGTATTTCATCTTTTCAGAACTAAGGATAGTTGTCCTTTCAATGCATTTTTTAATGTAAGAAACATTTCTGCCTTTGTGATAAAAAACAAATTAATGAGCCTACTTCTCCATGTTTTCTTCACAGGGCAGCCCAATGGATCCAATGGTGATGAAGAGACCGCAGTTGTACGGGGTGGGCAGTAACCCTCATCCTCAGCCACAGCAGAGCAGCCCCTACCCAGGAGGTTCCTATGGCCCCCCAGGCCCACAGCGGTATCCACTGGGCATCCAGGGCCGGACGCCGGGGACTATGGGCGGAATGCAGTACCCACAGCAGCAGGTTCGTGATGCTCCGGCCCCCCCCCCCC